AAAAAAAAAAAACAACCTAAAAATAACAGTTTCCATTCACAAATACATCTTCAGTCCTGCCAAGACAGAGCAGGATACTGTCACTGTCCAAAGATTTTCCATCTGCCCAACCAGTTTTCCCCCAGAGGTGTCTGGGGCCACGGCTGGGATGCTCAGGGCATGGCTGGGATGCTTGGGGCCATGGCCAAGGTCCAGCAGGCACATGCCCAAGCTTTTCTGGACGCTAGGACGGCAAGCTGGGAGGTATAAACAGCAAGAAGTATAAGATAAAGTTTTCCAATGCAAACTATTCCGTTTATCACCACAACCCGCATAGGCACCACTTAACGAAAACTCTGACAGGCATAGATCACCCGCTGCAGCCGAGCATCGTTTGCTGGACTCTGCCCTCTGCCATGCACCACATTCAGCTTTGGTTTAATTATCTGCAAAGTCCAAGTTTGAAAAATGAGGAGCGTGGGTTTAACCCCAGGAATCCTTGAGGTGAATTTTTACCTTTGGTATTTTGCATGTAAACCAGTCAGCACACAAACCTACCTTTACAAGTCTGATCCAAAACCTACCAAAAGCAAAGGCTCCTGCTGGCTTTAGCACATTTTAGATCCATCCCCTTGGGGATTTAAGCTTTTTTTTGTTCCAAACCACTACTCATTGCTACCATCCCAGCTTTTTCAACAGGAAACAACATACCCTCTCTCACAGCTAGATGTCTTGGTCTCATAAATTATCTTAATTATTTGATTTTAGACTGGGACACCTCATTTTAAGTTGGTCTGTCCAACTGTTTTTTGGTGGGATAAAGGAAGCCATCATTCCTAGCAGTCCCAACTCACTTTTCACCACGATCCTGTGCTGTGTGTATCGCTCCCACATTAGGAATTTCACCTGGAGGCCCAGAACAATGAACATCCCTAATTACACTGGCAGAACTCATCATTATAACTTCATGCTTCTTCCCCTGCGCCGAATCAGCCTGACGCATGCTCACACTGCCTCCGAGAAGGGGGCTGTTATGACATTCCCCTTCTCTCAGCTCTGGATGCCACATGCCAAACACAGCTTAAAGGATCCCTGAAGACTTTAGTTTGCCAGTAAATAAGTACCAAGATTCAGAAAGCAATTGGGATTGCAGAAGAGAAGGACGACAGCACTAAACCCGTGTGTTTCAAAAGTCATTACAGGCATCTTCCTGCACCTTAAGGAAAGACCCATCCAGACTCGGGTTTGCACGTAGAAGCCCTCATGTAGTTAGTGCTGTTAATGATTAAACTCAAGGCTTCACCATCAGCTCTTTAGAGCGACCAGAAGCCCTTGGTACGAGCCACCCAGCCTGGCACAGCTTCCAGCCACAGCCTGAGGGATGCCAGGCTCACCCCAGCCACAGCTCCCACTCAGGCCATGCCGAAATTAAGCTGATACAGCACAATTTAGGTTCTATTTATCAAAGCAAAGGAGAACGGGAGAAACAGCAGCCTCAAAGAGAAATGCAAGTTGCCTGCTTGATGAGCATTTATGCTTACACAAGGAGACTCCATCTTTTCCATGGGAAGAGAGGTAACCACAAATAATTATAGGTGACTGCCCAAGAGCCAGATGCCATGGGCAGCTACTGCAGAACGGCTGATGCTCTGTGTTCACACCCCAACCTCAGCTGCAGGAACACCCGGTACCCACGTCCCCAGCAGCAGAAGGGGTTCCCTGCAGCCCCCCAGGATCAGGGAGCTGAGCAAGCCCCAGAGCAGTGGGGACCTGGAGGTCAGCACGGCCATACCAAGCCACCCTTGGCAGAGGGTGCACACTACCAACAGTCAGAGCTTTGTGTTGAGGCAACAGCAAGAACTGATCACACGTCTCTAACGTAATGGGTGAGAGATCAGACGTCGCACTCAAATGTTCCAAGTCGTTTAATTTACGGCTCAAGGATGGGAAAAAGTGTTTTCAGATGTGTTGTAGGGGATTAAAGTCAGCTATGTGGAAACCATTACTCTGCACTAACAACACTCTATTTTAATGGCTGCTATGACAATCCTAAGAAAAACAACTTGACCTAGGTTAGTGCTGGGCCCTCAACACGGGGCTTTGTGGGAAACGGACCCATTAACAAGACGTAACTAAAAAAAAAAAATAAAGTTGCAGACACCTTTTATCCCACATTTTGTTTTCTGAAAGACTCAACGTCATTCTCAAAAGATTACTTGCATATGCTCATGTATTTTACCCAAATGTTTTTTCACCTGGTAATGATCTACAAGTGTTGCACTCCACGTTCATTGAGCTGCTTTAAGTTACAAGAATTCCTGGGTCTCATGGAATTTCTAATTTTTCTATCCCCTTATAAACCAACATTTAGCACTTGGGAAAATGCCAGACCAGACCCAGGATGCTGCCATCTGCTATTGTGCAGCCACACAGGTGGGAGCAGGCGACAGCGACACAATCCTCCAGAACACTGCTGTATTTGGCCCCGATCTGTAGAGTTCCTTCTGATGGGGGATGGGGAAGGGGTGACTCCAGGCTCCGAACCATCTCCTGAATACTATTCACCTCCCATGATGGCACAACACTATGGCCACAACTGATTTTTATCATCCATATGGCCGTCTGAGTCTAGAAGCAGCTACAGCTGATGTTTCTACCTCCCCAGGATCATGAACCTTGCCGGGAGGACCACAATGGATCCATCTCTGCAGCCTCATTAGGGCTTCCTCTGCTGTGCAAGGCTTCGCACAGGCTGGTGAACAAGCACAGGAGCTGAGCACCCCCCGATCAACCCAGCTTATCCAGGGGACGTGAAGGAGAAGCTGCAGGATTTCTCCTCCTTCATTCCTCTCGGCTGAAACCATCGCTGTGTATCCAGGCTCTGGAAAGCTGCCGGTTTTCCTCTCTTAGTCCTCGAGGAGCTCCAGAGGGGAAGCTGTGATTCACTTTTTCAGTTGTACATTTACTGGAAACTTGAGAATATCATACATTGTCATCCTTCCCATCTTCCAACAGCATGCCAGCATGGCTCGCAGCAAACGGACCCCGGCAAAACCTCCACAAGCTGGGGGAGGCGGGAGGAGGGACTCGGAAGAACATCAACTACGGAGGCTTCCAGGGACTTCTGGGGTTACACATGTAGGAGGCTTGTCACTGGTCTTTCTCTTTTAAAAACTCCCAGAGAAGGTCCATCTCCATACAGAGAGGAGGAATAAATAGAAAACCTTCACACTCCAACTCTCCAAGCAGACTCAGCAGGGCTATGCACTGGTCCGTGTTGGTTCTCAGGATGCTGTGCAGCCCAGGGAACCAGAGTATGGTTATCCATCCTGCCCACTGGCTTGCTTCCTTTGCAGTCCCTTGGTCTTCTTCTGCCAGGGTTGCACAGAGCAAAAGAGCCCCCCAGGACTCCTGAGCTGGGCAGAGATTTCTACAGCTGCTATTTAAAAGGAAGGTTTACCATCTCTGGAATACCTTCCCTCCATGGGCAAGGGCCCAGCAGTGCCACTCCTGCAGCACACACACGCACACAAGACAGAGGGAAGAAACAGCTCCCAGGATTTACTGCAGACAGAAGGAACCATACATGAAACTTGAGGATTTATGCTTTGATACTGTGGTCAGGAAAAACACATGGCAACAACCCTTGGGTGTTCAGCTGTGCCTGGGGCCAGTCCTCCAGCACCCCCCCGGTCCCACGCACAAGCAGCCCCAGTGTTATTACAAAAAGAAAAAGCTGTAATTTGACTGAACTGGGAAGAATGGCATCAAAATTATTTTTAAAAAAAGTGTCTCACAACATGTATAACTTCCTCCCTGCACATCACAGGAATATGAACATGTTACGGGACGGAGGAGCCAGAAAACACATTTCTTGCTCGCTAAGGAATTTCTTCATTTGTGTAACTTAGAGACATCTTCACAGTGAGAAAAAAGAACAAGTTTTACCATGTGATTATTCTTATCCGTACATTTACATTATTTAAGGCTCCAAAATCCTTGTCCAGTCAAATGCATAAGTTGTGTGGCTAAATACCAAGATCTCCATACCACCTCTCTGTAAGTAATAATTCAGGGGGCTGCTTAGCACCCAGGATCTTCTCCAACCAGCTGCGACATACCTGCTCTTCCCCTCCCTCGCAGATGGCAGTAAGGTAGGCAAAGCAGCCCCTATGCTACCTTGGCCTGGGATTCAACACCTGGGAAACCAACACTGGAACAGGCTGACATCATCAGGGCATCCTGAGCCATCCTGCTAACAAGGAAGCTGGGTGGTGGGAGTTCTTCCAAGGGGATGGAGTGACAGGACAAAGGGTAATGGGTTTAAATTGAAAGTGGGGAGATTAAGATGGGACATCAGGAAGGAATTCTGCCCTCAGAGGGTGGGGAGGCACTGGGACAGGTTGCCCAGAGAAGCTGTGGATGCCCCGTCCCTGGGAGTGTCCAGGGCCAGGCTGGATGAGGCTTGGAGCAACCTGGTCTAGTGGAAGGTGTCCCTGCCCATGGCAGGGGGTTGAAACTAGATGATCTTTAAGGTCCCTTCCCACCCAAACCATTCTGTTTAGTTAGTACAGCCTGAAAGTGGGTGCAGCCACACAGATACCACACTGAGAGCACCCATGGCTGCAGGTGACATGGGAGCCACAGCCCCAACATGCTCCAAGCAGCAACATCCCCTTCCCAGCAGTTTTCCCAGTGGTGGCATGGGGCCAACTCCTCCGTGAAGGATGCAGCACAAGCCTTCATGCTCTCAGCTGGCAGATGACAAAAGCTTCAGAGAAAGCTTTTGGGCTCGCCTTTTGCCTCTGGCCCAGACAGGCAGGGCTGGACAATGCTGCCAAGGGCTTCCCAGCACTGTGCATCAGTGGGAACAGCATCGGTGATGCCACGAGTCTCCTGTCCAGGACCCGAGGTCCTTCAGGCACTCAGCCCTCTGTTCTCAAGCAGTGGTTTCAGCCCAGCACAGCTCCAACACAATTTTATGGCTGCTTTTATCTGAGGCATGACCCGATTTGAAGTAACAAGTCTTCCCTAATAACCAGGGCTGCAGTGTAAACGAGCAATGTTCACATTCAAGGAAGCTGGGAAGGCGTACTTAAGAGATAATACACAGTAATATGTAAGCAAGGACAGGACAAGACGTACTGCTGAGCTGATTATCTCTGGACTGTGGAGCTCTTGTGTGCACTTGCCTAGACACCGACTGCCTTCCAGGATAAGAAAGGGTTGATTGTGAGAAATAGTATTGATTTTAATGCACAAACGCCTGTTCTCATGAACATACAGAGAATCCAGATACGATTTATCAAGTTGTTACTGTTAGAAAAAACAGCTTTTCCATCTGAGGTGTCCACTGTCTGGAGATGGAAGGCCCAGGCTCTGCTCCCTGTGCTCTGTATTTTGCTTCTGATGCCCTCCTAAGCCTCCCCAAAATTATGGGAAGGATCAGCTGCAGAGCTGCCCTGAGCCCTGCTTCTCTTCGCAAGACAGCAGCCCATACTGTCAGAGCCACCTCCTCAGTGCTGCTCCCCCAGCCCTGTCTCTCATGGGGTCCGTAACCATTCCAGGTAAACTGGGGTGTCCCAAGGACAGAAAGCAAGTGTTCCTCCAGCTTCCCAGGACCTGTCATGAAACCATGCCAGATCCATGTTGTTTCCTAGTGTTTCTTTCTGCCAACGCAGCCATGCCATCTGCACCATGGACCTTTCCTGCTGCCTCAAAACTTGGCTTCTCCAGGGGTCCTGTTGCCACAAACAGTCCTCCTGGCTCTTGTTTCCCTGCCGGCGTATCCAAACGTCTCAGTGAAGCAAACAGGATAATCAGCATTTCCGCCCCATCCAATTCAACAGGCTCTCTGCACCCCAACACCTCTGAAACCCAGACAGGCCACATCGGTCTCAGCACATTCCGTCAGACCACACAGTAACTCCCCCTTCTTGTCTTCCCCCACATTCCGACTTTCCTGCTGCACTTTGCCGTTTTTTAGGGCATTTGATGAGCACCAGTTGAAAACAAAACCAATCTTGTTCTCTGCCTGGGTAACACGATGTCAGGGGTTCACGGAGAAAGGGCATGGGATGGAAAAAGGCCAGAGGGCTGGCAGCCCTTTCCTGCCAGGCTCGCTGCCCAGCTCCCCATCCTCCCAGGGAACACGTGCCCAGCTGGAGGGGGCCCTCTTTGGTGAAACACAATTAACATCACATTTCATACATCTTCACTAAAGACATACAACAAACAAGCTCGTTATTTCAGACACTTATTTAAAAAAACACCAAACCTCCTTGCATTGATTTGCAAACAGCATTTTGTCGAAGACAGCATACAGAGAGGACACTGCTCACAGAGCATCCCTCTGCCCAAGGGAGAGGATGCTAATCCACACCTCTGCATGCCAGGCTTTCCGGGAGCTCAGCCTCACAGCACAGTCCAGGGCAGTGATCCGCAGCTATTACAAGCAGCGGTTGCTGGATGGACACACACACCCCCAACAAATTCCCCGTCACCGCCCTGGGACATGGCTCCCTCGCCAGCACCAGACCACCCCGCTCTCCAGGAGGCAGATCCTGGAGCAGGAATCTGCTCACACTGAGGAGGGAGCACTGGACACGCTTCCAGCGACGAGTAACAGCTGGGCAGAGTTGTCTGATCCAACAGGTCACTCGGGAAACAGGAGAGAGATCCAAGAGCCATGTCACCGAGCACTTGCTTTGGGCCAAACTAAAAATAGACCTAACAAAGCGTTACTGAGCTGCTTGCCTTACTGTAGAAGAAAAGCTATTCAGTTTTTCCTATCAAGGGAAAGGCCACTCACACAGACTTCTCCTGGCATGGCCAATGTGTGTTTGCTCTTGGAGGAGCCAGCTAACAGCACAATCCACTCCCTGAGAGGAGCCACCCCCATGCCAAACAGCTCCTTACCATTACCAGCTCCTGTCTGTTCCTGCCTTGCAGAAGCCTGAGCATTTATTTGTGCCTGACTACAAGATACGAGAGTCTTCAAAATCTGCATTTATGAAGGCTGTAAGGCCTGACAAAAACATTGCAATCGTCTCACCTAGCAAAGCCCAGGCCCCCTCAACCACAAACGCTGCACCCATTACCAGGACCATCTGCTATACAAAACCTGTACAAACTCCTCTGCTCACGCTGCAAAGTCTCGCAGTTAAAATATTCATGTTGGTAGGTGTAGTTGGGCAAACCCAACTCCCTGCTGCCATATGCCTTCCACACAGCAGCTTCCAGACCACTGCGAGGTCGTTAACGAACACTTTGGCATCTCAGGAGAGCTCAGACAGGTCATCCTTAGGATGATCACCCCACCAAGGCACCAGATTATCACTGCTGCAAGACCTCCACCCACTCCCCTCACCATGGAGTGGAGCTGTACCAGTGTGACAGGACCCCTGCCCTGTGTCTGGGCAAGAAGTCCCGAGGGGATGCACTTTCACGGAGATACTGCTGAGACAAGGACCGATACTGCAGCTGCCACCACTGGTCTGGTCACAGCTACCACCTGAAGACATCCTAACCACAAGGACCAGGTAGACACCAGCATAAAGCCATGCAAGTGCCACGTGCCTCTCGTGGAAGAGGGGTCTGATCTCAGTCAACAGACGCCAACTGGTATCAGTGGCTAAGATGAGGTGTAAAAGTGGGAATTCAGCCCATAAATTCACACAGTAAAAACCCTCACACACGAAAATAAAATTCTGCCATGCTACAGGTGAAAGTTGTTTTAATCAAAACTCTATCCCAACTCCTGATGAAGTTCTGGGCCAAACTACCTCATCAGCTGGTAGCTAACCAAAACCTTCTGTCACTACAGAAGGATTCCACCTCTTCCAAAGACAGCTCCACCGGCCAGGAAGGGAACCCTTGACCTGACCTGGGTATAGCCCCCATCCAGGGTAGAAGACCATCCAGTCTCCCAAAAAATGCTCCTAATGGAAAGGAAAATGACCCCCCTCCTTGGCTATGGGAAATTCTACCTGCACAAAGGCGTTTTCTTCTTTTTCTTCTTTTCTTTCTTTTCTAATGCTGGAGCCACATCACCCCTGTGGCACAGGTTGAGCTCGGGGGACTCTGCTCGGACACCACTGCCTGATGAACCATGAGGAACCAAGGAGGCTTTGCTCCATTTACGGCAGCGCTCCTTTCCCGCTGCCCAGGCTTCCAGTCAAACTACATGTTTTCCATAAGTATAAACAGTAAATGATAGCTCTTTGTAGCAGGAAATGCCTTTTTAATCTGAAGTGGAAAACTGTATACACTCATTTAAATCTATTACAGATAACATTAGTCATTTGTGAGCCTTATAAGGAGCACTCATGTCAACTGGATAAGTTGTGATTCGTATTAGGAACTTCTAATTCCAATGGAAAGCAAAAAAAAAACAAAGCCAAAAATACACAACACACCACCCAAGCCTTCATTTTGCTTTGAAATGTTTGTTTTTGTTTTCTTTTTTTTTTTAAAAAAAAGGTGTATTTGGCAGGTTCTTCTAAAGTATATTCATTGAACATATGTTTAGGAAAGTGATAGGTGGGTGTTAATGAAGTGGGAAGCTACACCCAAATGAGATTTCAACCCCTGTGCTACCTTTGCTTGAGTCAATAAAACCTGCATTGGCTTGAAGGACCCAACCCAGGTCACAGCTCACACGAGTCTTGCAAGGTGCAAGCAAGAATCCAGACTCGTATAAGTGAACTGGACTCACTTATTGTATCAGTGGTATTTTTAAAGAAATTTTGTCTCGATGTTCTCAAAATTACATGGACCACAGGGATGCACCAAGAACCAAACCCACGGGCACATCTGTTCCAGGGCCAGGCGCAAGCCTTCTGCAGAAGAGCCAAGCAAAGGTGACGCAGGGGCACATCAAACACAAGAGCACCTACCTGTTCACGGAGAGCAATAGCTGGTCCACGCATGCTTTGATCTTGTTTTGTGCTTCTAGATGTGTCATGTTCTCCGTGCTCTCCCCGTTAATTGCCAGAATAATATCTCCTGGGCATAGGTTTGCCAAGGCTGCTTTACTGCCAGGGTTAATCTAGGCAGGGAAAAATAAAAGGATTATTTAAAAGAATGCTTGGGTTTAAAAAAAGTCCAGTTTCTTGGAACAAGCAACAGATAAAGAGAATAGTTATTTCTGGAGAAGATGTGTTTTGCCTACACCAACGGCATCTATCAGAGGCTGGATGTCAGAGCCAGCGCTCTTGGGTCAGCCCCAGCACTCTGAGGGCCATACTCCACAACTCTCCCTTCAATCAGGAGATTTCTGTCAACCCTCATCAGTATGTGACCGGATCCTCTCCTCAGATTAGTCTCTTGCTTAAAATAACACGACACCCTCTTGCAGGAAAGATGCTTCAGACTGCGCTGGCCTGCAGGCCCGAAGTCATGCTGCGAGAGTCAATCCCTGAAGAGCACACACAACCCTCCTCTTTGGCCAACTACGTAATTAGAAGATGAGTGCAGTCACCCTAATTGCTTCCTGCAGAGAGGTTACATTTGACATCAGTTTTTCCTGACCGTCGTTCAAATGACTTGTCTCTTCCTAGCCCTGCACGGAATATCACACAGCTCGTTAAGCCTCCGCAGCGCTCTCCTTCTGGTTTTGTAGGAATGCCAGAACCTTATAAAACTCATAACTTCTTTCCCAAGGAACTAATGACAGGTCCAGGTACTGTTTGTGGTCAGACATAAGACCAATCCTGCAGCCCATAAGAGAGTTTCTTGAGAAATAACCATTTACATCAACCCAAATGTGGTTTTAATTTTTGCAATAATATAAAACGATGCAAGGCATAAGGAGGACAGGTAAATGTGTCTGTTTAAACTCTTAATGGCTATGGGCTTGCCCTCTAATTTCCTCTCCAGTCACTCAAAGCATCTGCTAAGGCTCCACTAACCAACCACATGGTTTATCAAGTGAGAAAGTACAGCAAGTCTGACTTTCAGTTGTTCATCTCTCACTGCACAGAGCGGGACGGTGCTTGGATTCTGTTTAGTCTTGATTTACATGGGTATAATCCCCCGTCTCAGGTGATGGGTCTCCACCTCATCACACCCTGGCCAAAAGATCCAGGCAATGGGATCTCCCATCTCCCCTCGGACACAGCTTACGGCGGTGCACAGGGGCAACCAGGTGCTAACAAACCAGCTATGGATTTTCAGCATGACGTGCTCCACCGTGCCCATGAGCCCTTGGCCACCCCCGAACAGCCAATCTTTTAGAAATGGGGACACGCACACCTCCCTATTTTCATCTTGATCTGCTTTTTTCCAGTTCCATTTTCACAGGGAGTTTAAGAGGGTTTCCCTTACCACCAAAGCCCTTCGTGCATCGCACCGGGGCTGCTCACCAGACCCAGGCTGGTAGAACAGCCAGGGAAGGGCAGCCGGTGTGACAGACCCGCTGCACCACTCCCTGCGTGACTGCAGCCACCAACGCCACCGAAACACCAGCCTGAAGGTGTTTGAGGAGCTCCAAACCAGGTTTGGGCATTTAAGCAGAGCTGGCAGCCTGAATGACGCCTTTGTTGCTTTGTCAGAGTAGATCAGCATTTGCCATTTGCTCCTCAATAGTGTCAGCCGGGCTGTTTTGCTCTAACAAACCTGCCCAGCCTCCTCCCCCCCACGACTCCGCTCAGAGCAAACAGGAGATATTTCTGAACACAGCCCACCTGTAAAGCTTTGACAGACATTTCAACCCAGGATAGATTATTTTTTTTCCCTTGGCATGCATTTTTCCTGTTGTTTTTTCAAACCCATGGAAGAAGACATGGCATTCCCAGAGCATCAGTCTCCTCCTACAGCCACAGAAGCTGCCAGACCCACCAGAACATCAACCAAAAGCTCAAGCAGCAGCTCCAAGGAACCATCCCACGTGCCTGACTGTGGTTATCCGCTTCCCCTCGGTGTTCACCCCGCAGCCCTGGCTGCCAGCAGGCTTTTGGACTAACAGACCTTGAGTTTGACCCAGGACAGCTGTATTTTGTTCTTGTCTATTCAATGCTGTCTAGATGTCCGATGGATTTTTCTCCCTGCACTGATCTTAACCAGATTGTAGCTTCCTTGGAGAATAAGCTGTTCATAAATGAAACTCTTAGCTGTTTCCTATTTTTAGATTCTGGTTTATTTCAAATTATTTTGGCAGTGTCTTCATAGTAGCAATCTATGCTAGCCGTGGAGATGACTGAGGGCTTGGAATGGAGCTGCACTCCAAGAACTCATTAGTTTGAGATACAGCATCGGTGTCACAGCAGCTTGGGAATCAGTATTGTAATGTCTATCAGGTCCAGAGTTTGGATTTTAGTGAATAATGTTTAAAATACTTTAGTCCAAGTCCTCCTAACTCACAGCTGTGTAAAGCCATTGGCACCAAACACTCCTCAGGAAACGCTGTGGACCTGGTATGGGTCAGGGCTGCACCCCAGTCCTTGTGCAAGGGTCCTACTGCCTTTGCTCCATGCAAATCCATGCAGCCAGCCCACTGCAAACCCAGGATCTCCATAAGGATAAAGATGCAATTTTAAATATGGTGGTTTTTGTAATAGAGTCTATGCTTGGAGCAACACAGCCAAGAAAGATGTCATGGGGAAATGAATAGATGAGGAAGGAGCAGGAGGGTTCCAGGTGTCTTGTTCAGGCAGCTCCCATGCCCAGCAGCAATGGGCTCAACCCAAAATCCTCCTTAAACACCCTCTCTTCTCTCCTGGGCAGTGACACTAAAGCCCAGGAATGCAGAGAGGTTTTGGGATGGAGCTTTTACCAGAGACACTCACTCACGCCTTGGGTCTGCCATGAGTGGTACCCGCAGCCCACGTGACACGAACCAAGCTCACAAATTTCACAGTAACTGGAGAAATTACAAAGTTAAAAACACTGCAAAAACCCTGCAACGAGTCACTGCAGCCCTGTGCTCTTGAAAGGGGCTTCCAAAGGAACTGAGGTTTGAGAATTGGATAGGCTTAAGGAAGCAGCAAGATTTTTTTTTGTTAATTTCTGAAGTTCTCCATCAGTGCTAAGAAAAAAAAATTTTCAAACCAAGGTTGAATGAACACAGACTAAGACAAGAGAGATGGATATGTAACTCTGGGTGGTGCGAGTGGCCTCCCCGGGAGAGGCTGTGTCTCCCCACTGCACGCTGCCTTGCTACACACCGAGTACCCTACAGCAGAGTCCCGAACACAGGCTCTGTCCCCCTGAGCCCTAGGCATGCTGTGCCTCGTCTTGCCCATGCTGGGCAGCTGCCAGGATTTGGGCTCTTTGTCTGCTTTTTCTCCAGTGAAGAGCTCAAGCAGGGCAATTACAGGCTAGTGAGGTGCCAGCCCAGTCCCTCACACCCTGTGAACCCCTGGGGCTGCAGGGCCTCATGTGGGTGCTGGTATTTCAGGGCAGGAGCAAGATGCTGGTGGAGAATGACATGGGTAGACTGGGTGTCTGAGCTCTCACAGTGTTGGCAGGTCATGGGGTCTCGCTTCCTGCAAGGCCACAGGCTCCCAAAGGGCTCTGCTTGTGCTGCTGTGGGGCGACAGCGACCTCAACACACATTCAGAGCAGTCAAGTGTGTGGCACAGAGAGCCAAACCCACAGCAAACACCGCAGGCTTAAAGAAATGTAAATATTTGCATTAAAGTTCCCCTAAAGGTTTTTCTTTTTCAAGTAGACCAGGAACCAGCCTCATTTGGAAGCTCCGAGCTCCCAAAACCACAGATTCATACAGCAACGAAGCAGCACTGATGTGAACACCCAGGCACCAGGTAACCACTGCTAGCTATCGCTCCCTGCACTTAAAAGGTACTTTCCCACCAACATAAATCCAAAGTCACCTGATGGAGACTTGGGATGAAGTTGCACAGGACAGCCTAGCCTGCCCCACAGCTTGCCCTGGAGAGGGGAGAAGACCTTCTCTCCGCACCTCACTGCTCCTGGGTGCCATCAGCCTCTTCCCTTGTGCCAGTCCTGGTGCTCAGCAGGATTTTAAGCACAGCCTGGGATGCAATCCAGCAAAGCTGAACAGTTTTCCGAGTGAAATCAAAGCAACTCAGCATAACAGGTCCAGAAAACTGGACCCATCATCTGGGACCAGGAGAGGGTTGGAGTTGGCTGGTGGCAGCTCTTCATGAGATGGTTAAGCAGCTCCCACACAGTGCTATACATGGAATACCCACTACTCATCACCTAATCCGTGCTGCATCCGCAGCAGGAAGGAACGGAGCATGAAATATGTGCAGGACCAGCCAGCGTGCTGGGGAGGGGTCACTGGCACTCGTATTTTCACAGCTCCTTTTATGCCCATAGAAGCACATTCGCATGTACTCTGCCCAAGGCGGCCGTGCACGCACAGCACGGCGTCTGCTCCGGGAACGCAGCGTAAACGCGTGCCCTTTTTAGTGCTGTCCCAAAATTAAATAAAGCCAAGAGAGAACAATGTTCTCCATTTAACCCCTGCACAAAAATAAGCAGCTGCTACTTTGTTTCTCTCAAAAGATGCATAAGAATATTTATAAACAGAAAATACCAAAACAGCAAACATGCACAACTAACAACATCCTAAGAGCAGTGCGTGTGGAGGTCTGCAGAGTGCGTGTCCCTGGTAAGCAGTTCCAGAGCAGCCTCTCCCTGCAGAGTGTGCCTCCTGCAGGGATTCACTCCAGTAGGAAGCCAGAATGCGGTGGGGTTGGTTTTTCTCCCTTTTCTAAGCATCATGTTATTCTCCCTCATCCCCTCAGGACAAGTCTCATTTGTGACACCTTTGTGCATCCTCCACATAGCACTGAGCTTTGCAAGATATTAGAGGTCCAATATCAGTGCCTGTTTCAGCCCTTTTACATTATTCCTGCAGGAAAAGGAGAATTTTAAACAAAGAGACGCCAGTAAACAATCCTTCCCTCACTGTCCTCTGCCTCCTCCATCGCAGCACTACGAGCATCACCCCACACTGATGGTGACAAGGGTAAACGTGACCCACAGGCTGTAGCACTGCACCCATACCCATAAGTTACTATTTCCTTCTGCCAAGTTGACCACTAGTGATTA